GGGATGAAGGCCAAATGTATATTTCACAGTATCATAGTAGTATTAATTGTGTGCAGCTTTCAGAGCTGATTTTAATTATGTTATTTTATCTTTATTTTCTGTTGTGGAAAATTTCAGCCATAGCAAAAGCAGAGCAGATAGTATAATGAATTCTATGGACTCATCACCCAGCTTTCATAGCTTGTTTCATCTATTGTTTCCCATTCGCCCCTACCCAACCTCTGATTATTTTGAAGCAGATTCCAGACATCATCATCTTTTCACAAATGTTTCAGTATCTATCTACAAAAGATATAACTTTTAAAAAGCATAATCATACTATATCACACCTAAAGATGACAGTTACCTAGTCATGTTTAATGAACTCTATGTCATCTGTTCCTGGATTGCCTACAGACATCTGTAGTTCTTCTCTTGTCAGAAATTATTATTGAAGAACAGTTCTCCGTGTACATTGCTCCCACGGTTCACCCCATTGTGACTTTACATTCCTAGGAATAATGTGTCATATCACAGCTATTTCAAGTACTTTCACAGTCATACCTTTTGGGTAGGAATTATAGTCCTAGGATTGATACAGAAAATCTTTTAGTTGGGGAAAATAAAGGAGAAACAGCCCTAATTATGTTTGAAAGCGGCCCTGGATATGGGCAGTAGAATCCCTGCTCTGAAGTTAGGGTAAGAAGACGAGGTTTGATAGCTACAAAGCTCTTAATTATAATTTTCGTCCTTCCATGGACTCACCAGTTCGCCTTGGAGCTTCATCTGAGTAGTGATTACCAGAAATTATTTTCTGCCAGAATATTGATCGGTATTTCTGATGCTGTTTAAATTCTGTATGTCCTTTTATGCTTTTGAAAACCAGAAAGTATCTGAGACAGGTCTCAACCAATTTAGAAGTTTATTTTGCCAACGTTCTCCAAAGATGATTTTGATGGCTTCAATATTTAAGGGGGAATGGGCAGATACTGGGGAAAGAGGAGGAAATTTTAAAAGGTATGGGTAGACAAGAGACAAACGGTTGCATTCTTGTGAGTCTTTGATCAGCCATTCGCCTGTGAGAGGGGGGCAGAGGAATAGTTATGCATTCATCTAGCTTAGTGAATCTGCATTTCTACATAAGATAAAATAAACAGTGTACAGGAAGCCATCAGATGTGCAGTTGTCTCAGGGGAGCAGAGGGATGACTTTGAGTTCTGTCCTTTGTCCTGTATGTGTAAAGAATAAGCTGTCAATTTACATTGTTGGGGTGAAATTCAACAGAACTGTTCCAGGGTAAAGATCTTGGGGCTCATAAGGAATTTCTAAGTGGGGAATTGTGAGGGAGGTATGTAGCTTTTTTTGTCTTTGTAGCTATCTTATTCGGGAGCAAAATGGGAGGCAGGTTTGTGTGACGCAGTTCCCAGCTTGTCTTTTCCCTTTTGCTTAGTGATTTGGGGGTCCTGAGATTTACTTTCCTTTCACACTTTTCTCAGTAAAAGAGGAAGGCAGGCAAATTGGGCACAAATTTAGCCTAAGTCTGCCTCCTTACATATTAATATTTTAAGTTTGGCCCAAAAGTTTCCCCTTACAAGGTAAACTGCAGCCTAACTAGATGTGTAAATACACTATTCTTACACCAATCACAGATTTTCAGCAAGTCACAGGAAGTCAGCTGTTAACAAACTGTGTTTAAATAAAGCAAACATCAAGCTGTAAGCAATCCCGCTGTTTCTGTACCTCACTCTGTTTTCTGCATACCACTTTCCTTTTTCTGTCCATAAATATTATCAAACCATATGCCAGAGTTTCTCTGAACCTATTCTGGTTCTGGGAGCTGCCCAATTTGAGACTCATTCTTTGTTCAATTAAACTGTTAAATTTAATTTATCTAGAGTCTTTCTTTTAACAGGCATCACTAATTTTTTTTCTTTATCATCTAGGTATTCTGTCATGCTGTTTTTAAAACCTCCATAATTAGAAACATTGCTTTATTAATTTTCCTACTTTTTAAAAACTCTAGTGTCTTAAAATTTGAAGAGAAAAAAATTACTTGTTCAGGTCTGACAGCCATTTCTAAAACATATCTAACATATATGAATTACATAGGATTAGAGCCATTAAAGAATAGATTTTTTCTGGCCAGGCGCGGTGGCTCACACCTGTAATCCCAGCACTTTGGGAGGCCGAGGCGGGTGGATCACGAGGTCAGGAGATTGAGACCATCCTGGCTGATATGGTGAAACCCCGTCTCTACTAAAAATACAAAAAATTAGCCGGGCGTGGTGGCGGGCGTCTGTAGTCCCAGCTACTTGGGAGGCTGAGGCAGGAGAATGGCGTGGACCCAGGAGCAGAGCTTGCAGTGGGCCGAGATCGCGCCACCGCACTCCAGCCTGGGCAAAAGAGCGAGACTCTGTCTTAAGAAAAAAAAAAAAAAAAAAAAAAGAATAGATTTTTTCTTTAGCTAGTGTTAAAAAATTATTCATGATGCTTATTAAAGGTGGTAAGGATTACTTTTTTCAAGGTAGGAGACTAGGTATAAGAAACACTGCAATGGGGTTTTGCAGTGGTGGGAGAATGAATGGGGAATCAGTAGAGGGAAAGATTCTAAGAGGAAACATTGGTGTTATGAGGGATTCTCACTAGAAGGACACAACAGAACTCTTGCTGAAGGGAGGCCAGGGTGAAAAGACACTGGGGGTTGGAAGTGAGAACAGATACATATGGGTATGGGTCATTTTCGCTAACCTGACTTAGCAAGATTCTTGCTTAAATTGGATTATACAAAGACAGAGGGAAGGCTGACATTGGCCTAGTTGAGCAGAGGACTCAGAGGAGCCTGACTCAAGTTTGGGTCAAAAAAAGAGCATTTTTGTCACTAGGTAATAGTTTTAACTATTTTCCATACATAAACATTTTCCATACCTAAACTGTTTGTTTGTTTGAGATGGATTTTTGCTCGTCGCCCAAGCTGGAGTGCAGTGGAGTGGCATGACCTGAGCCCACAGCAACTTCCGCCTCCAAGGTTCAAGCAATTCTTGTGCCTCAGCCTTCTGAGTAGCTGGAACTACAGGCATGTGTCACCATACCAGGCTAATTTTTGTATTTTTTAAGTAGAGACAGCATTTCACCATGTTGGCTAGGCTGGTCTCAAACGCCTAACCTCAACTGATCTGCCTGCCTTGGCCTCCCAAAAAGCTGGGATTACAGGCGTGAGCCACCGTGCCTGGCCTGTAAACAGTTTTTAGGTAATTAGATAGTAAGACCACTCTTAACCAATTCGATACTGAACATAATTAGTTTTCCTTGATTACTTGAAAGTACTTGTTTTTTAATGATATTAAACATTATTAAGTCTTGTGAAAATGTGAAATTAGAGCTTTCTGGGAACTCTAGATAAAGAGTTTCCAGTAATAATTAATGTTTAACAAAATTCAAAATTATGTGTGAGGCCTAGAATTAAGACTAGCTTGGGGCTGGGCGTGGTGGCTCACGCCTGTAATCCCTGCACTTTGGGAGGCCAAGGCAGGTGGATCGCTCGAGGTCAGAAGTTTGAGACCAATCTGGCCAACATGGTGAAACCCCATCTCTACCAAAAATATAAAAATTAGCCAGGTGTGGTAGTGCGCACCTGTAATCCCAGCTACTCAGGAGGCAAAGATTGCAGTGAGCTGAGATCGTGCCACTGCACCTCAACCTGGGTGACAAAATGAGACTCTGTCTCAAAAAAAAAAACCAAAAAAACTAACTTTGGATAGTTTTGAAAATAAGTAAAACTTCAGAAACAATCAGAAGGTAGGAAAACCTGCTTATATAGTTAAATTGTAATTGGTGAATATGTTAGTCATTTTATTGCCTTTTTGAATATGTATGGCAACCCTATTTATAGTAATTGGGTGTCTAAGTGAAAGTGTTAATATGTTTAAGGTTTGGAACATGTAGAAGCTGTTAGTGCCTTATTAAAGTCCTACACCAGCCCCTTAGCAACAAATGCCTGTAACTTGAAGCTCGTTAATGTACAGTTGCACATTTTAAGAATCCAAGTTGACTGATAAATTATCTGATGTATCTAATTCAAATATTTGTGAGAGCTATTGCTGGGTGCAGTGGCTCAAGCTTGTAATCCCAGTACTTTGGGAGGCCAAGGCAGGCGGATCACTTGAGGTCAATTCGAGACCAGCCTGGCCAACATGGTGAAACCCCATCTCTACTAAAAATACAAAAGTTAGCTGGACATGGTGGCACACACCTGTAGTCCCAGCTACGCAGGAGGCTGAGGCAGGAGAATCGCTGGAACTCGGGAGGCGGAGGTTGCAGTGAGCCGAGATTGTACCACTGCATTCCAGCCTGAGCAACAGAGTGAGACTCTGTCTCCAAAAAAAAAAAAAAGAGCTATTGATATTTTGCTTATCATAGGCAGCAGTGTTTTTGCAGTAAGCCATTTTTAAATAGTGATTTTTTTGCTGTATCAGAATATAGTAGCATAGTAATTTTTACTCTTATTTAACTCATAGTAAAGGTTTCTCTTATTTGGAATTCTCCTTTCTGTTAAATAGTTTATACCAGACTTTCTGAAAATGTTCTAGGAGGATTATATGGGTTCTTATTTACCGGTTATTTGAGAATTTCAAAATACTTTACATATTTGCTTTATATTCCCATAGCAGTTTAGATAGGGTGTGTTACCAAGATGGAAACTGGTTCTGCAGGACTAGTAACTTACGATGGCCAAACAATGAGTCATCAATAAATAGATTTTTGAACGAATCTTAAAAGTGTAATTTCTGCTGCTTTGTGCTATTACATTTTCATAAATTTTAACACTGAACATATTTTATTTTTTAAAAAGTATGTAGAGTGTAGAGAATGCAAAGAATAATGCTTAGATGTTAGTTTTATCTGTTTCTTAAACTATTCTGAGCAGAAATACCAACCTTCCCAGTACATTATGTGTTTTCACTTATATACAGCCTTCTGTTGGAACTACTAAAGTTTTTAAAATGTTTTTTGTTCTCCCCTAGGTGTTGGATCCTGAACAAAACCATAACTTCACAGATCATTATCTAAATGTGGCCTTTGACCTTTCTCAAGTTCTTTTTATAGCTACCGCCAACACCACTGCCACCATTCCAGCTGCCTTGTTGGACAGAATGGAGATCATTCAGGTTCCAGGTACCTGACTCTTAAATGAAATCATTGTGATACATCTTGCCTTTCTGACCGTCACTTTAAAATTAGTTATGCTGTGGAGTTGTGACTGAAAGAGGTTCATTTGCCAGCATACAATCGTCAGAAGTTCTGAGGAATGTATATAAATCAGTTTCTATGTAGCTTCAAAGTCTGGAAGAGCAAAACAGCAAATGTTGACAACAACAATTTCAGATTTAATTTAGCATGAGTGATAATTTTGTGAAAAATAAGACATTCTTTCTTTAACATAATTTCTAAAATTGCAGGCCGTGTGTGGTGGCTCACGCCTGTAATCCCAGCACTCTGGGAGGCCGAGGCGGGTGGATCACTTGAGGTCAGGAATTCGAGACCAGCCTGGCCAATGTGGTGAAACCTCGTCTCTACTAAAAATACAAAAATTAGCCTGGCATGGTGGTGGGCGCCTGTAGTCCCACCTACTCAGGAGGCTGAGGCAGGAGAATCCCTTGAACCTGAGAGGGGAAGGTTGCAGTGAGCCTCACGCCACTGCACTCCAGCCTGGGTGACAGAGTGAAACTCCATCTCAAAAAAAAAAAAAAAAAAACTGAATGTTTTCATAAAATCTGGCCTCACTTTTATATTAAAATGCATGCCGCTTTTAAATTCCTCTTGAATCTATCAAATAGTTAAATTTTTTAACTGTCTTCTTCACTGGAGTGTGCAAAATGTATTCCTTCGCTTACTAACACTAGATAAATTATAGCACTTTCACCTTATTTTGATTGCTCAGAATTGTTTTTCCCTGGAAGAGATCAAATATCAGTGAGGTTTTTTTTAATGTAAAGTAGAATCTAAATGTCTTTATTTATTTAATTATTTAGCGACAGAGTCTAGCTCTGTTGCCCAGGCAAGTGCAGTGGCACAATTTTGGCTCACTGCAGCCTCTGCTGCCGAAGTTCAAGTGAGTCTCGTGTGTCAGCCTCCCAAGTAGCTGGGATTACAGGCACTCGCGACCACGCCCAGGTAATTTTTGTATTTTTAGTAGAGACAGGATTTCGCCATGTTGGCTAGTCTGGCTTCGAACTCCTGGCCTCAAGTGATCTGCCTGCCTTGGCCTCCAAAATTGTTGGGATTACAGACGTGAGCCACCATGTCCAACCTAAATGTCTTTTATTTATTTTTTCTTTTTTTGAGACGGAGTCTCACTTTGTCACCCAGGCTGGAATGCAGGGGCACAATCTCGGCTCACTGCAACCTCTGCTTCCTGGTTCAGGCGATTCTCGTGCCTCAGCCTCCCAAGTTGTTGGGACTACGGGTGCGCACCATCACACCTGGCTAATTTTTGCATTTTTAGTAGGGATGGGGTTTCTCCATATTGGCCAGGCTGGTCTTGAACTCCTGACCTTAGGTGATTCACCTGCCTCAGCTTCCCAAAGTGCCGGGATTACAGGCATGAATTGCCACACCCGGCCCTAAATGTCTTTAGATTCTAAATGTAATCTAAATATATTTTTCTAATTAATCTGAAATATATTTTTACTACTAAGTGAGTTATAATTGGATTTCTATTTTTTTTTTTTTTTTTTTTTGAGATGGAGTCTCGCTCTGTTGCCAGGCTGGAGTGCAGTGGTGCGATCTTGGCTCACTACAACCTCTACATCCCAGGTTCAAACAATTCTCTTGCCTCAGCCTCCTGAGTAGCTGAAACTACAGGCGTGCGCTACCACGCCCAGCTAATTTTTGTATTTTTAGTAGAGACAGGGTTTCACCATGTTGGCCAGGATGGTCTCGATGTCTTGACCTCATGATCTACCCGCCTTGGCCTCCCAATATAATTGGATTTCTTCATTATCTGTGAGCATTGCAGGTTCCTATATTTAATTTTAAAATATGGTAGAGTAAAAAGTTAATTGTGTATTTAAAGTCTAAAGTAAATAAGTAATGAGACTCAATTCCCTGGAAACTCCAAGTTACGGCAGAAAACCCATTAGATAACACTAAATTAAAGTGAATCAGGACAGCTGCTGCAGAGGGGAACATATGATGCCACCTTCTTCCTTTGGCAGATTTAGCTGTCCGATCTTCTAGCTTTCCTGGTGTTTACTAACCTCTTTCCATTCAAAAGGTGCCTTATCAATTCATATTTTTAAGTTTTGCTTGTTAAATGGAAAGGGACGTTAGATGGAATTTTGTCTTACAGGATTTAGAGACAAAGATAATCTATATTTATTCAGGCTATTAAATAAGAACGTAAAGTATTTTAAATATACTGTATATATAAAATACATATATACATATATAAATACATATGCACACATATATAATTACATATACACACACGTTTATATGTACGATCATGTGGAGGGAAAAACCTTTTGTAGGGACATCTTAGGTTTTCTTTTGCTGCTACCATTTATTTTATAGTCATAGTTCTGGAAACAGTATCTTTAGAGCCCTTTTGGAACCCATTGCTTAGTTAATTGACGGGTGTGTGTGTGTTTCAAGTATAGATCAAATTAGGCTAAAAAGAAGCATTTATTTTTCTATTTGAAATTTCAGAGGATTTGAGGATAAAGAGATAATTGTCTCTAAGATTTGAGGTTTTTTCCTCTTTGGGAGATACATCATTTAATCAGAAGACTTTCAAACACTGTGCTTAGTAAATGCTTGTTTTGTTTGTGAAAACATTGGAAATTTTAACAATTATTGATTTAGATCAAATTTCTTTTTTCTTTTTCCCTTTCTTTTTGGAGACAGAGTCTCGAGTCTCTGCTGACCTGGCTAGAGTGCAGTGGCACAATCTCAGCTCATTGCAACCTCCCTCTCCCCAGCTGAAGCAATTCTCGTGCCTCAGCCTCCAGAGTAACTCGGACTACAGACACGCGCAACCACGCCCAGCTAATTTTTTGTATTTTTAGTAGAGACAGGGTTTCACCATGTTGCCCAGGCTGGTCTCAAACTCCTAAGCTCAAGTGATCTGCCTGCCTCAGCTTCCCAAAGTGCTAGGATTACAGATGTGAGCCAACGTGCCTGGCCAGAATAAATTTCTTTATTGTAATTATAGTCTCATTTGAAATAATACTTAAATGTGTTCTAAATCTAAGATCCATTTAATCTATATTTGATTCATTAAAAAAGCATGGCACTGGCTGGGAGCAGTGGCTCATGCCTGTAATCTCAGCACTTTGGGAGGCTGAGGCTGGTGGATCACTTAAGGCGGGGAGTTTGAGACCAGCCTGGCCAACATGGCAAAGCCCCGTCTCTAGTGAAAATACAGAAATCAACCAGGCATGGTTACGCATGCCTGTAATCCCAACTACTTGGTAGGCTGAGGCTGGAGAATCGCTTGAGCCCGAGAGGTGGAGGTTGTAGTGAGCTGAGATCACGCCACTGCACTCCAGCCTGGGCGACAGAGGGAGACTCTGTCTCTAAAAAAAAAAAAAAAAAACGCATGGCATTATGGGAGCCATGTAAATAATTACGAAACAAGATCCCTTCTTTTCCAGGGTATACACAGGAGGAGAAGATAGAGATTGCCCATAGGCACTTGATCCCCAAGCAGCTGGAACAACATGGGCTGACTCCTCAGCAGATTCAAATCCCCCAGGTCACCACTCTTGACATCATCACCAGGTTAGTTAGCCATCCTGAGGCTTCATTAATGAACTCCAGGCACGTTTTGGGTATTTACTGAGTTACCAAACTTAGGACACAGAGTATCAATATTTGAGTTTTTCATCTTTTGAGATAAGCCACAGTCTCCTGAAAAGGAGATTATTTTATTGGCATCCCATAGCATCCATTTATCTTTCTTCAACAGCTTCCAGCAAATGTTATCATAACTATTGATTTACACCATTCTCTGTACTAGGCAGAAGTTTACAGAGAAACCATTTGGAATATTGTTATAGCTAAAGCTGAAATTTATGCTTTGCCACAATAGCAATATAAGGGGTTAATCTGATCATTTAAAAACCAAATACGTGGCAAATATAGAGACACTTTTTATGCCCAGGATCTTGAAAGTTTTTGAATTCTAAGAGGTGATATGCTACTTTCAGATAATCTGATATAAGTTACTCAGTTTTCTTTTCTTCTGTTTGGCTGAGAGATTTTTTAAATCCTTGGAATTTTGATCTTCAGAATTAACACTGGAACAATAGAGAAGGTGCCTTCCCCAGTTTACTACCAAATGCTTAAGCCTGTAGCAAGCAGTGTGTAAATTATCTGAATAGAGTATTGCTTAGTCTAATGTACAGATTCCCTGTTTGAATGGAAAATATACCCTGTTGAGAATTTATATCCACCACAGCCTCTTACAGTTTTCCTGGCTCAGTATTACAGATCCATTGCATCATCCAGCAAGTCATGTCAGGCTGCCAAGCTCGAGTCATGTGGCCCTTTTCTAGTAACTACTGTTTTTAAGAGATGTAAAGTATTTCTCTATTTTGAACTTTGACTTAGAGTTTGGCCAGACTGTCTTTTGATCTGTGTGTTCTTATGGGTCTATATAGATTTATATACAAAACAGTAAGACTAAATCTTACCTGGGGATTCCTTTTCTTAATTTGTTTTGTGATTTATGGTGTGGATAATGCCAGGAGAAATAAATTAAGTGACTTATATGCCTGAGTCTTCCAACAATATCATTATTCCAGATAACACTCATGATGCCTTTGGGTAACTTTCAATAAGTCATTAAGCTTTTTGATAGCTTCCCCATCTGTAAAATATGAGGGATGGAGAAAAACCCAGAGTTTATCTGAATAATAATGATTCTGAAGAGTGATCATTATTTATATTTCCCAATTGTTGCCTGGAGAACTATTTCTTTTTTTATATATACTTGTTAACTCAAAATATCAGATCTTAAAAGCTATGGACATAAGGAAATACTGAGCAGTTTTGTTAGTTTTGATATTGTTTTTAAAAACAGCACAAGTATGTACTACTCCAGGCACGTTTTGGGTATTTAGTGAGTTACCAAACTTAGGACATAGAGTATCAATATTTGAGTTTTTCATCTTTTGAGGTATGTCACAGTCATAGACCCTAATGTTCTAGTCTTTCTTGTCTCCTAGTATAACTCACCTACTTGAATACTTCCAGTCCCAGTATGCTTAATGCTAGCTAATCACTACCTCTTCATGGGTAATTCTAATTGTAACAAAGATAATTATTTTTATTATTTTTTTAAGACAGGTTCTCATGCTGTTACTCAGGCTGGAGTGCAGTGGCGTGATCTTGGCTCACGGCAGCCTCTGCCTCCCAGGCTGAAGCCATCTTCCCGCCTAATCCCCCAAGTAGCTGGGACCACAGGCGCATGCCGGGCATGATGGTGTGCACCTGTAATCCCAGCTACTCAGGAGTCTGAGGAAGGGGAATTGCTGGAACCAGGGAGGTGGAGGTTGCAGTGAGTCGAGATCGTGCCACTGCACTTCAGCCTGGGCAACAGAGTGAGACTCCGTCTTTAAAAAAAAAAAAAAAAAAAATTAGAGATGGGGTCTCACCATCTTGGCGAGGCTGGCCTGGAACTCCTGAGCTCAAGTGATAATTGTTACAAAGATATTCTTTCTGTTCACTTTTCTATAATTTTCTTCTTCTGCCTTATATGAGCACCTGGAATCTAAGTGTAATTCCTCCTTGTACAGCCCTTCTGACATTAAAATAAAATACTATCAGGTGTGCAGGCTAAGCGTTCTCTTCTTCAAGCTAACCATTCCTCTCCTCTGTACCGTTCCTCTTGATGTAGTTTCAAGACTTCCTAATTAGTCTTCTTCTGAAAGAATCCTGTATATCAATGTGTCTTAAAATTAAACACCCAGAGTTGAACACAGTGTTTCAGATAGAGTCTAAACAGTTCATGGTATAGGAAGATCATGCTTTTCTTATTCTGACTATATTATTTTATGACTGTATCTCTAGATTCTTAGCTTTTTAAAGATTATTCTCTTCCCTTTTTCAGTGAATTTCACTAAGCTTGGCATATCCTATTTTGTATTTATAGAGCTGAATTTTTTAAAGCCCAAATGTAGAAGTTGTTAAGATGCCTCCCTGTTTCCTCCCTTATTGAAATTATGTATAGTTGCATAATATAGACTTTATATCCTTCTGTACCTTTGACTGAAATGAGTTTTAGTGTTTAGCTAAGAGCTTTTTATCTGTCTTTTCTCAGAACTTTTAAAATCTGCTTTCGTAAAGTCTACAGTGTATGTCTGACTTAATCAAATGTATGGCTTAGTCAAATCCAATTCTTCAGATAAAACTGCATTCTCCACCTGATCCTGTCCATTCAGGTCCATTCAAAACTAAATGGCCAAAAATGGTTTCACTGTATAATGGTCTGTGGAATGTCTTAATGGAGTTTGATTCTAATGTACATGTGTTTAAAGCAGCTCTGCTTAACCACACGTAGAGTCTTTTTCACAGTGTCACAGTGCTTTCATCACTTAGCATACCTTCTTCCTTTAGAAATCTTCACAATGAAAATACACTGAAGAAAGGTGGTTAGCAAAGTGCCTAGTGAAAACCAGATTTCTGTCTCAGATTTGTTTTTGTTTTAGTTCCACAAAGAGCACAATTTTTCTTACTCTTTCAGCAATATTTCAAATACAATAAATTTATCTAGAATTTTCCTAAATTGACAAATTTTGTTTAAGAAAACTCTTCAACAAATTACCGAGGAGTAAATGGTTTTTTTATATGGTGCCAAGTTTACTTTGGCAATGTAAATTGAACTAGAACTAGGGTTCATTTTTAAGTGTAGGATTATAATTCAAAATAATCTGTATAAAGGACATTGTTGTAGCTGAAAATACATCAGAGTACTGAAGAAATAACAATAATGAGGAGTTTTAAGTGTGGAAAAGCTAGTATTCAAGAAAGGGTAATGAACTTGTAAATGTACACCGTTTCCTTACTAAAAATGTTAATCACATTACTTCTATTTTTTTAGGTGGTGTATAGTCAAAAATAATATATTTTTCTTTGATGACAGGTATACCAGAGAGGCAGGGGTTCGTTCTCTGGATAGAAAACTTGGGGCCATTTGCCGAGCTGTGGCCGTGAAGGTGGCAGAAGGACAGCATAAGGAAGCCAAGTTGGATCGTTCTGATGTGACTGAGAGAGAAGGTTGGTGACCTTGTTCTGGCATTCTCAGGCCTAGTGGCTAGGAATGAGTGACAGAAGAAGGTTGGGTATGGAGGGGAAGGTGTTGGGTAGTCCTTGGAGCAGTGACACACATGACTCCACTGTTAAATGCATCCAGTAAGTAATACCTTAATGTTTCAACATGTTTCATCAAGAGGATTGTCTTTTACAAATAGCACAGTTTTAACTGGAGTAATACTCAATATGAATGCTTTGAGGATATAGGAACTGTATTAGGGTTCACTAGAGGGATAAGACTAATAGGATAGATGTGTATATGAAGAAGAGTTTAAGCAGTATTGACTCACACAATCACATGGTGAAGTCCCACAGTAGGCCATCTGCAGACTGAGGAGCAAGGAAGTCATTCCGAGTTCCAAAACCTCAAAAGTAGGGAAGCTGACAGTGCAGCCTTCAGTCTGTGGCTGAAGCCCCAAGAGCCCCTGGCAAACCACTGGTACATTCTAGAGTCCAAAAGTTGAAGAACTTCGAGTCCGATATTCGAGGGCAAGAAGCATCTAGCACGGGAGGAAGCTGAAGGCCAGAAGAATCAGCAAGTCTGATCCTTCCAACTTCTTTTGTCTGCTTTATTGTAGCCATGCTGGAAGCTGATTAGATGATGCCCACTCAGATTGAGGGTGGGTCTGCCTCTCTCAGTCCACTGACTCAAATGTTAATCTCCTTTGACAATATCCTCACAGACACACTGGAACAATACTTTGCATCCTTCAGTCCAAACAAGTTGACACTCAATATTAACCATCACAGTAACTTTCTCCAGATGTATAATGATGGTGTATATTATGTATGGGTTCTGGTGTTATCTTATTTCTTTCTGACCCAGATAGTTAAGTCTTTAAATAATTCATAACATAAAAAGTTTTTACAACGTTAGAAAATCCATGCTGTTCAAGTACTGCAAGGGCAGACCTTTGTACTCTGGAATAGCTTCATGTGTAATAATTTTTCACACATTTTCTTTTACAGATAAACAAATAAATGTAATTATTATTTAAAAAATTATTGTGGAGGTGTTCTATTACTGTAATCAATCAAATGTGGGCGTTCCTTTGGTACCCACTTAAAATATTTTAACTGGCCGGGCACAGTGGCTCATGCCTTTGATCCCAGCACTTTGGAAGGTTGAAGTGGGCAGATCACTTGAGGTCAGGAGTTTGAAACCAGCCTAGCCAACATGGTGAAACCCCATCTCTACTAAAAATACAAAAATTAGCCGGCCGTAGTGGCAGGCATCTGTAGTCCCAGCTACTCCGGAGGTTGAGGCAGGAGAATCGCTTGAGCCCAAAAGTCAAGAGGTTGCAGTGAGCAAAGATCATGCAACTGCACTCCATCTAGGCAACAGAGTGAGACTCCATCTCAAAAAAATAAATAGGTAAATAAAATAAAATGTTTTAATTTCTTGCCCCAGAACTGTAAGGGGTCTCAGTTCATCATATCATGCTGTTATGCAGTTTGCCAAAATTTGCTTTAACAAACATGAGTTGGCCAGGTGTGGTGGCTCAAGCCTGTAATCCCAGCACTTTGGGAGGCCGAGGCGGGTGGATCACGAGGTCAAGAGATCGAGACCATCCTGGCTAACACGGTGAAACCCCGTCTCTACTAAAAATACAAAAAACTAGCTGGGCGTGGTGGCGGACGCCTGTAGTCCCAGCTACTCGGAGGCTGAGGCGGGAGAATGGCGTGAACCCGGGAGGCGGAGCTTGCAGTGAGCCGAGATTGCGCCACTGCACTCCAGCCTGGGCGACAGAGCAAGACTCCGTCTCAAAAAAAAAAAAAAAAAAAAAAAAAAGTTGTAGGGAATTGACAGTTCCTTTCATAGTAAAGAGATTTATTAGATTTTTCTACCATTTTCATAGCTCTTTCAAGAAAGAAGTTGGATGACTATGATTAAAGAACCCTAATTTATGGTGGGCCCAGTTGAACAGACACAGCCAAACGTCTTTCTTGTTTTTCTATCAGTTGCTGAACACAGTGCATTTTACAGCAGTAGCATGAGTCAGCTTTCACAGAATCCTCCTGTGGCCAGTCCAGTGCTTCACCCCTGCACCCCCGTGCCTGGAACCTCACTGGCTCATTTTCTCCAGAGAGTAAAGCTCCTATCTTCTGTTGGATTGGAGGGAGGCAGTGCCTTCATTATGTGGAGTAGGAATAGAGGTAGTGAGTTCTAATTGTTTTTTATCCAGACTTTAAAACTTTTGCTTTATTTTTATTATTTTTATTTTATTTTATTTTTCGAGAGAGAGTCTCGCTCTGTCGTCCAGGCTGGAGTGCAGTGGCACAATCTTGGCTCACTGCAACCTCCACCTCCCAGGTTCAAGCGATTCTCCTGCCTCAGCCTCCCCAGTAGCTGGGACTATAGACGTACGCCACCATGCCCGGCTAATTTTTGTATTTTTAGTAGAGACAGGGTTTCACCATGTTGGCCAGGCTGGTCTTGAACTGCTGACCTCAGGTGATCTGCCCACCTCAGCCTCCCAAAGTGCTGGGATTACAGGTGTGAGCCACTGTGCCTAGGTTTATTTTTATTTTTTATTTTGACTCTGCCTTGGGAGAATCTAGAAAACTTTTGCCTTTTGTCCCACTCTTCACCCATGCTTTCAGGGCTACCTTGAATTTCTTAGCTTTTGGAGGCTTTTAAGACCCACATCAACTTCTTGTTCTCTACCTCTAGCCCCACAGACATTGAAGTTTCTGCTTTGTCTAGCCTGTTCAGTGTTTGTTACTTTTTGTCCATGTACTTTTTGTTTTCCAAAATTTTGTCAGTATCTGTCAGCTGTTGTCTTTTTTCTCATTTTTTTTGTTCTTGTGAGTTTATATATTTTTTATTTCTTAATTGTCATTTTAATACGATTTGGACAGGAAGTATAAATGCATGCCCAGACTACCATTTATAGAAATTTGAATTTAAAAAAAAAATGTCCTAGATGGAGGGAGTACCTATCAAGGGTGGAAATCACTGGTATAGATGACAGTGACAGTGGAGAACTGAGGTCTATAAAAGTTAAGACCTAGATCTAGATGCTCCTGAATTTCTCCTTTTTATTCTTAACAACACTTCCTTTGTGCTGTGATCTCAAGCAGCTGAGCCTATGTCTTTTGGTTTTTGTCTGATATAACAGAAGGTAGAGGATGAAATAAATGAGTTTATTAGGTAACACATTTTGAAAATTGTGTTTAAGATTTAGACGATGTATTTTAGAATTAATACATTCAGAGGAATTCATTGTCAAGGGAAACTTTTGTATAGTTATATATTGCTTGATGTTTATACATACATCCATTAGCATATTTCTAATAATATCTTTAATTATACTAGCTATTTTAAAATAACCCACAAATACTCAAGGAATTGTTCAGTTTGTGAACTGTGTGAGAACTACAGTTTTTCATAGTAACATTTATTTGTGTGGTTTTTAAAATAGGTGATCACAGAACATCTTCTAAATGATAAGACAGTTAAGCAGATTTGCTTAGTTAAGATATCACCAAGAGCATCCAGATGAACAGAATAAATACTTGTCTCTTGGAGATGATTTTGGGTGTAGTCTTTACTAGAGGCACAGGTATGAACTCCAAGTTGGCTCTAATATTATGAGATACCCTTGAGTAAATAACAGCCATTCTCTAGACCTTAGTAGAATGATTATTAGGTGTCCTGAATTGGTGTTTATGACCTCAACCAAACCAAAAGAATAATTTCTACAAAAGAGTCTGTGTTAGGTTTTCATAGCACCAAGTTCAAATGGAGCTTAGTAATGAAAAGATTCTCATTAAGAAATGAATTATTTAAAATTAGAGTATAAAACAAGACAGTTGTTTTAGAAACTTCAAGTAATACAGTGTGGGAATTATTTTTAATGTTAAAAATAAAGCTTTCCTAATTCAAGCACAAGAGACTGAAAAAAAAAAAAATAATAATAAGGCGAACTTGGAGTTACTGCCAGGAAGAAAAGTAATTTTAGGCCACAAGCTTCAAAACAGGCAGAAACCTCCAGTGTATCAAACTTTCTGGAATAGGCCCAGAAGCACTAATCTGTGAACAGTTGTCTTTGTATCTGTGGGGTCTTAACTGGCAGTTAAAGAGACTAAATAATAGCAGGGAGTTTAAAAAGCAGGTGAGATTTAGAGTTGACCAATCTGTGTTAGAGGAGGAACATTTTTGGTTTCAGTCACTTACCTATAAAGTATGAGAATTATTTCTTTGAAAGAATGCTGCCTCTGTTTTTCTGCATGTTGTTAGTATTTTCTGAATTGCCCTTTTCCTTTCTAGGGTATTTGTTGGATTGAGGGATTAATTGGATTACATGACTACAGTTTTATTCTGCTTTTTGCCTGCCTTTTGCCAAGAAAGACACAAATCTTCCATGTACTTAATTTTGCACACTTGGGTGTTTCTAAACAGGGTAAATGTTCATTTAAGTACCCATGTATCATATATATTCAATTTATATCTAGCAAGATTTTTCCTCAAAAACTATCCTAAGCAAAGAAGGATTTATATTATAATCAGTCCTTATAAAGTTTCTCATAATACACTGCATTCTCAATTACTTAATTTTTGAAGAACATAGTATTTGAGGAAGTTACATTAAACAGAAAGAACCTTGGTAGATACCAGTTTCTGATTATTCTCATAGAAGTCACCTGAAAACTTCGTTAGAAAAAAAAGACAAAATTGATACAAATTTAACAGTTATTCATGAAGTGTGTAAATGTTGTGTTATTCCATTTTGCTGTGCTATACACGAATACTTAAGGCTGGGTAACTTATAAAGAAAAGAGGTTTGTTTGGGTCAGAGTTCTGCAGCCTCTATAAGAGGCACAGTGCCAGCTTATAAGGTGAGGCCTTAGGTAGCTTATGATGGAAGACAAAGGGAGAGCAGGCATGTCACATGGTGAGAGAGGGAGCAAGAGAAAAAGGTGAAAGAGCCAGGGACCTTTTAACAACCAGCTGTCATGTG